GCTATTAGTTGTGTCACCTCCTGATGTGTTAAAAGATGAAACGAATTTGTATCTTAAAATTAATTAAGTGCAATAGTTGGTGCTGTATAAATAAATAAATTCTGGATTAGGCAATTTGATTATTTAGAGCAATGTGGACAAGTCCTAAGTTTGAGTAGAAAATAACCCATTTGCATTTGTGGATGGTTATTTAAGTAGCAATAACGTTCTCTGCAAACCTTAGTAATATTGAATATTTACATAATTCCTGGACTATTCCAAACAGTTACTAAAGCTTATGTTTTTCACTTTCTTAAAGAGATATTAAAGCTGCCTTCATTATAGGCTCTCTAGACTTAATAATTTAATTGAGGCATGATAGTTATTATGGATTAAATGTGTTCTCTGAAAATTCATATGTTGAAATCTTAACCCCTTGTGTGATTATCTTTGAAGATAGGGCCTGTGAGGGCCTGGGTAAAGATCAAGTGAGGTCATAAGAATATGGCTTTAATCCAACAGGAGTTGTTATCTTTATAAAAAGAGGAAGATACACCAGAGCTCTCTCTCTCCCCACCATGTGAAGACACAGTAAGAAGGCAGCTGTCTGCAAGCCAGGAAGAGCCCTCACCAAGAATCAAATCAGTTAACTTTTTTTTTTAACCATTTGTGCACAATTTTTTATTTGAATATATATTTTAAAAAATTTATTTCAATATCATAAAGGATACAATTGGGTTTTGGTTACATGGATGAATTGTATAGTGGTGAAGACTTCCAGGCTTTAAGTGTAACTATTACTCAATTAGTGTACATTGTACCCAATAGGTAATTTTTTATCCCTCATCCTCCTTCCAGCCTCCCCCATTCTGAGTCTCCAATGTCCATTCTATATGCCTTTGCAGTCCCATAGCTTAGCTCTCATTTTAAATGAGAACATGCAATATTTAGTTTTCCACTCCTGAGTTACTTCCTTTAGGATAATGTCCTCCAGTTCCATCCAAGTTTCTGCAAAAGACATAATTTTGTTATTTTTTATGGCTAAGTAGTAGTCCATTGTATACACGTGCACACACAAAACACATTCTCTTTATCCACTGATTGGTTGATGGGCACTTAGGTTGACTCCACATCTTTGCAATTGTGAATTTGATTTTGGACTTCCAGACTTCAGAACTGTGAGAAATAAAGGTTGTTTAAGAAACCCAGTCTATGGTATTTTGTTATGGCAGCCCAAGTTGAATGAGACAATGACCAATAGGAAGGGCAGTCTCTGAGAGTAACTGTGGATGAATTTATCCTGGCCCCTGCACATGGCTAGTCATTAGCTGGCAGATCATATTTGACCTGAAGCTGCCTATTTGCAATTGGAAACCAAAGACAAGGTCCTCCCCATAGTCCTTCCCAGGTTTCACTTTTCTGCTTACTCAGTGTTAAGGTTTCATACTACTTTGCTGATATTACAATTACCATTTATTTATTTATATTTACAATTGTATACAACTACCTATGGGAAGTCAACACTCTTGTTATGAACATTTAATTAGCTTTATAGTTTTAATCACTTCATATTCATGCTTTCTTCAGTAGTGGGTCAAACAGTTTCTGTCTTGCCGGTAATTTGATTCTCTGGGCACTGGTTCTGCCTGTATGTATTTTACAAGTGAAGCTTTACCTTAATATTTGTTCTCACCAGTAATTGAATATTTCTTTCATCAAAATTCAAGATAGTATGATAAAGAAGATCTGGAGAAAAGTTCAGAATTATATAGAGGCTTTTCTTTTTTCTTTTTTTGGAAAGCCTGTCTTTATGGATACAAAATATACTTTACAGAATACTTTTCAAACTAGTTTTATTTTGAAGCACATGCATCAACAGAAATGAAATAAAGCATTAGCCAGTGAGAATCCTTTGGGAAACCTGTTTTAATGAGTAGATAAAATTGTTTACAATTCATATAACAATTTATGTGTAGATGGATGTATCTGAAAATTATGAGCATGCTTGAGGGTACTTGAAAAATTTCTTTCATTAATAATTTCAGAACAGTACCTCTACAATCTTATTTACATTATTTTCATCAGAGCTAAGTAAGGTAAGTCTCTCCAGCCTGGTATAGTCAGAGTTGGTGTATTAGTTATCTATTGCTGTGTAACAAATGACCCCAAATCTTAGAAGTTTAAAACAACCAACAGATGTTATCTCATATAGTTTCTGAGCATCAGAAATCTGGGAGTGGCTTAGCCGGCTGGTTCTGGTGCTTAGGGTCTCTCATGAGATTACAGTTAAGCTGTTGGCTGGGGCTGAGGATTCACTTCTGAACTTACTCTTGTGACCAATGGCAGTAGACTTTGGTTCCTTGCTACATGGACCTTTTGTTGGGGCTGCTCACAACACAGTTTCCCCAGAACAGATGATGAGCAAGCAAGTGAATGAGCCATTGTCTTACAACCTAGTCATGTAGGTGGCAAACTATCATTTCTGCTGTGGTATGCTTTTGTGACACAGACTAACCTGGTCCACCATAGAAGTGGCCAGCACAGGGAGTGTTCTTGCAAGCTCACTTCATGGCAGTTGACAGGAGGCTTCAGTTTCTTGCCACTTAGGCCTGTTTATAGGGCTCCTCATGCCATGGTTTCCCCCAAGTGAGTGATTTGAAGTGTGGGAGATATAAGTTACCTAATCTGGGATCTTCACTTCTGCTGTATGCTGTTGGTCACAAGGACCAACCCTGGTACCTTGTGGGAAGGGATTGTACAAAAGTGTGGATACAAGGAGATGGGGATGATTGAGGAGCATCTTAGAGGATGCTGCCACAGTTGACATGTGACCTAAGCCAGGTCAGGCAGATGTTCCCTTCCTAGAACTGACATTTTGAGCAGAGTGACAGACTCAGAATGGAATTACTCACTCTGGTTGAGCCATAAGAATGGTTCCACTAATTGCTAACCTGTGTTGTCTCTTGGCTCTGCAAATTCTCAATAATCTTTCAATAAATTCTTTTTGTATTATGTTAGCTCAGAGCAGTTTCTGTTACTACAGAAGACTCCTAATTGGGAAAATAGATTCCAGTGTCAGATACACTTATGTGCATGTGCAGTGTGGAAATTACTTTCTATTTATTATAGGATGATATAATTCAGGTTTCTTATTGTTTGTGATAGGAGATACAAATAGAGAATGTGGAGAGAGTAGCAAGAACTTGTGGTGTAGATTAAAAATGGAGACATCAGTGTCTTGCTGTATTGCACACACACTGCCTTGACTGATTTCCTATGAGGGCCCCAAATCACTGCCTGGTAAGATATGCGTAAACCTACACATTGAGATTTTGATTCCTAAATCCGATGCCCCACTAAAAGTAATCACAATTCCTTGGAGAAATTATGGAAGCAAGGAAAATATCAGGTAAGTTCGGAACATCTTCAGGGTCAGAAAGTTAGTAAGTTCTGAAAGAATGATGGGGATATGTCAAAATAACATTGCTGTCCGTTTGTTGGGTCTTGACCTGCCCAGATCTGGGACAACTTGAACATTGACATAGAATCAGTCTTACAACCTTCATATTATAATTGGAAATCATCAATGGGTACTAAAACCAGTAGGTAAAAGTATGGTGAAGAATGGGATATATTCATAGTCTCAATATATCTTCTTTAAAATGCTTACTAATTATAAAGTGAAAAATAGTATCTTTGCAATGGAGAAGGCTGGCAGACAACATCTTATTCATGTGATTAAAGGTAATAGCACTGATAATGGGACAGAAGGACATTATAGGTTTCCTGATATGATGCACTAAGAATATGTAATCACTTCTGGGGTACTCTGCTAAAAATGCATTACTTGAATCTAATCAAGAGAAAACATCACACAAATCCAAATTGAGGGACATTCTGCAAAATAACTGGTTTGTAACTCTTAAAATGTCAAGGTCACAAAAGAAAGGTGGAGGAATAGTTTCAGATTAAAGAAAGCTAATGAAATGTGACATCTGAATGCAGTGCATGCACTTTGAGTGGATCCTAGCCAAGGGGAAAGAGCTACAAAGGACATTATTGGGACTTTGGCAAGATTTGAATATAGATTGTACATGGAATAATTGCATCGTATCATGTCATATTTTCTGATTTTAATCATCACATAGCATAATGCCTTTGTTTTTAGGAAATACACACTGAAGTATTTAGGGGTAAATGGCATCATGCTGCAACTTATTCTCAAATGGCTCAGTAAAACACATGAAAGAGTGAAAGATAAAGCATATGGGTCCGCATGTTAACAACTAGTGAACCTGGGTGAAAGGTCTTATGTTAGTCTGCAATTAATTGCTGCTGTAACAAATTACCGCACATTTAGCAGCTTGTTTCTCTAGGTCAGAAGTCTGGTCCAGCATGGTTGGATTCTGTGCTCAGACGGTCTCACCATTGGGTTAAAAATCAAGGTATCAGCGGACTGCATTCCTTTATGGAGGCTCTGGGGAAGAATCACTTTCAGGCTCACTCTGGTTGTTTGCAGAACCCAGCTCCTTTGCAGTTGTAGGTCTGAGGTTTCCGTGTTCTTGACACGTGGCTCCTCCATCTTCAAGCCAGCAATGGCACCTGGACCTCTCCCCATGCATTGAATCTGTCTGCTTTTCAGGGCTCAGCTCATGTGATTACATTGGCTTCATCTGGATAATCCAGGATATGCTCCTTCTCTTAAAATCAACAGATTAATCTTAATCACATCTGCAAAATCTCTTTCACCATGCAATTAACATAGCATAAGCATGGATATGACTCCAGAGGTTGGGAATCCTGGAGGCCTCATTTATGCCCACCACAGGTTCACAGAAGTTTTCTGCACTATTTTCTCCACCTTTATATCAATTTAAAATTACATCAAAATAAAATGTTACAAAGATTCATAAGAATAGCACAGGAAGTTGGAAATGTCATCATAGGTATATTCATGGTTTTGGTGGTGTCATTTTCTCCTAACAGCATTGGGTCTGTTTTTCTTTCTCATTACCTGCCAGGCCACCACCAAATCAAGCAAGGGACCTGTGAGGTGGTTGCTGTGCACAGGTGCTGCAATAAGAACCGCATAGAAGAGCGGTCACAAACGGTCAAGTGTTCTTGCTTCCCGGGACAGGTTGCTGGAACAACTCGGGCTCAGCCTTCTTGCGTTGAAGGTAAGACCTATCTGGTCAGTTTCTTCAGTATTTCAAAAGGGTCTAAAACTACCAAGAACCTCTCTACTTTACTCTCTTTGCAACCTAAATGAATCTAGGTTTCCTTGCGTTCAGTGTCAATCCAAAAGTGAACGTAAACACAACTCCAAAAACTTCTTGATGAGGAAGGTAAATCTTTAATAATGTCTCTCAAGAGGTGCCAAAGGAGAGTTACATTTTGGGACAGTTGGGAAGATGTGCTTCAATTCCTTTTTTGCCCACCTGTCTCCAGATTCCCCACCAAGCAGTTGTTTCCCCTCTTTTATACTCTGGATTCAAAATTAGCAGCACAGCTTTCTCACTTCATGCTTAGTATTATAGATTAATAGCCTCTTCATTTTATTTCCAGTTTTTCATTTTAACAAACATTTATAGAACATCCTCTTTGGAGCAACTTCCCTGGGAATAGTTGGGATCATGTATCATTCATTTGTAGTCTCTAAATCCCCTAGCAGAGTACTGTGCCGATGGTTAAAAAAAATATTTGAATGAATGTTGATGGTTGTAGGTGGAGGCCTGGGATTGATTCCTTTTGATGCCCCTGGCTTCTTCCAGCAGACACCTTGTTAGAAACAAGTATCAGTTCCCAGGGGAACAGATACACACAGGGTTAGTTCTACTGTAGCAGTTGTGCTGCAGTGGTGCGAAACTGCCTTGAAAATGAACATTTCCATTCTGATCTGATGCATGTCTAAAGGTCAGCCGTTAGGACACAAACATGCATACATTCATAACTCCAGATCTTATTGCCCAATCAACAATAGAATGCGACTCACTCACATCCCATTTTCCCTACCAAACGCACAGACATACTCAAATATGTGGGCTGGGTGGTCATAGTGGTGTGTGTCAGTACCATCTCAGCTACCTTTATAGCAGGGAAGTTAAGGTGGAAAATTTCCCATCTACAATTCCTTATGAGAAACCCTGGGGGCCAAATGTGATGTGAATTCAGATTTTGTTTATGTTTTATACAGGTAGCATCATGCAGATGCCATCTATTACCTTATGAACCTAATGTGTTCTCCACTTGCACCCCCAATCATAGATATTAATATTTCTGCAGTGAAATATATGAATATTCATGCAGGAGGGGATAAAGCAAGATAAAGAACCTCATGTTAATTCAAGTCAGGCTTTGCTGTCATCTTATAGAAAACCTGTCCCTTTTCATAGCTTTTTGGATTTGGACATTATTGATAAAGGATTGTGGATCTATAAAAAATGATGGAGATCTTTTGTATTTAAAAAATGGCATTTAAAAAATTGCTAAGATTCTATACCCCCTAGCTGGGGCAGTATAATATATTTATCTTCCCCATTAATTGAATCCAAATTATACTCATTCTGTCTGTCTCTCTGTCAAATCAGTACACTTTTCTCCATCCCCACTGCTACCTCCATGGTCGGGGGTGGGGGGGGTACTAGCCTTACATCTTGCTGAGCGTCTGATACCTCTTTTTCCATTTTCCACCCTATAGCCAGAATGATCCTTCTACAAAAACAGAACTGATCATGCCACTACCATACTGAAATAATATTTTAGTGACTTCCCACAGGCTTTAAGATAAAGTCCAAATTCTTTACCAGGGCTTACAAAGTCCTGTGTGACTTGACTGTGTCTCAATTCTCTTTCAACTACTCTACCCCAGGCAAACCAGAGTTTTTTCCATTCCCTTTCTTCTCTGCACATTACTTATCTATATCCCTATAGCCTGAATCATTGCCTTCCACCCTGTGACACACACTTGGTCTACTTAGTTCCTACTCTCCTTCCAAATCTCCTATATGTTCTTGTATCACTAAGGACTTTAAGCAGCTTGGGAGTGGGTCTAATTTTCTTTTCCTCATATTGGCTGGCCCATGAACAAGTTTTAGCACAGCAGAGGACTGATTCATCTTCAGTAATCATATATTGCTCCCTAAAGGTAACAACTGTGTTTGCATGCCTCTGTAGACTTTAAACTTTTTCTAAAGGAGCTTATGAATTATACCATATTTTTTACTTTGGCTAGCCTAATGTTTTACAATATTCAAAGCACTTTTATTGGTACCTGAAAAGTACTGATAGGGTAGTGATTACTATTAGCATCTGTATTTTAGTAAAGAATATGTGAATACCTTACCCTCAACTAACTTGTTTAAAATTTTACATATGAGCAAAATCCCCTTTGACTACCACCCTAGGAGCAACTACAAAACTACATTTATCTGTGTGGTCAATATATTTTTCTATATATTTGAATATCTGTAGAGAACAGTGGTAGATTTCAACATGAATGTGTGTTTTATACATCTAGTAACACATTGAATATTTCTTAATTCAACCTGCTTTTTTTCCTATCAGTGTTAGGTTGTAGAAATATTTGTGTGCTGGTACATATTGATCTAACTTGTAACACTGATCTAGTGTAACATTTGTGGCCCGAGAATACCAATACCTGGAAGGTGAAATTGTGATTGTGTCCTCCTATTTGTGTCTCTTGTGCCTACTAGCATTGTCTGGCAAACAGTGTTCAATAAATGTTGACTGGATCAAAGTCACTGAGAAGTATGGAAGTTTAGTTAGGATGTATGTCTGTTTTCGGATACCCCTGATCATCTCTTCCTTCTCTGAATATTTTTCCATTAGGCCTTTTTAGCTTTACCTGCTTAATCTTTATCCTATAATAATTATGCAGTATCATGCTGCTAATTGGCATGTGAGAAGACCTATTCTCTGCTGATATGTTCCTCTTGTCTTATTTGTCAATAAGAATAGAGAATCTAAAATATGAAATTCACCTGCATTTACATTTAAATTAAAACAAAGGCAAGAAGATGTTGGTGTGGGGCGCTAATTAATGCTGACATAGAACTTGGAATATCCTTTAGCATTTTTGTTAATCCACACTACAGATACTTATCTAGTGTTTTCATTGCTTTTCCATAAAACCATAGCTTATGTTAGTTAAACATGGAGAATAATTAGCTACCCCTCCGCCCCACCAAACTTCTTTGTTATAATTAACTTATGACTCACCCAGCCCCTGGAATTACTAAAGTGTGTCTTTGGTATACAATTACGGATTTGGGAGAAGAAACAGGGGATTATTTTATTGAAGGTATGGTTACTTGGGTCCTAAAACAGCTATTCAGCTGGTAAGCATTCTTCCTTTTGAATCTTCCACTGGCATATACAGGCTTATTTTGTGATGGCAACTATAGTCTATGCATTTATCAAAATACAGCTCTAAAGAGATAATGCTGAGTGGTTTTGTGATAAAATGGGATGAGTGTGTTGTACAAGGAAGTTTAATTTATCTTGTCAAAATGAATGACTTTTAAACATTGGGTTTGAAAGAGATTAATAAGACAAAAACTTGAAAACGGAAAGCAGTTACTTTTCAAACCTTTAAAAAATTTTTTTTGATGATGACCCAATTTCTACCACTTTTCTGAGATGTCAGAATTCACTTAGCTAAGGAAGAGAGTTACAGTTTGGACTGTGGACAACTTTTATTGCTTGATGGACTGTGTGATGAGATATAGGGTCATAGGGTCTCTCTTTACAATGTGTGTGTGTGTGTGTGTGTGTGTGTGTGTGTGTGTGTGTGTGTGTGTGTTTAGTTGGGTATGTTCTCCTTGCCACTTAAAAGGTGAGTTACTCAGTGCCGTCGGGTGAGTGACAGAGAGGATTTTACAAAAATGCTGGGAGTGGGAAGGACATATACATTGCATATGGTGGTTCATTCATCAAGTTTTAATTTGGCACCTTCGTGCCTGTCCTGTCCTACATGCTAGGGATTGCAATAATAAGACTAAAGTCCTGCTTTCAAGGAGCCCAAAGTTTGCTAGGAGAAATAGACAAACTCTCATAAATAAATAATTCCACAGGAGAACAGAGATGGGTCGGGGATGGTGTCCCATGAGAAGCAATGGGTCTGAATTTAGAGGGTAGGAGGAGGCTATGAGTGTGGAGGTTATTAGGAAGCCAGGCAGCACCAAGCATATAAGAGTGGGTGGAGGAAACTTGAGAACTAGAGGTTGCCTCATCTCGTTTGGAAACAGTAGAAAGCAAGACTATACAGGTTACAGTGGTTTTATGGTGAGCTCACCATTAGCTAGTATGTGTGTTAGAGAGAGCAAGCGGGTGGATGTGCACAAACTTTAGACTTCCGGAATTGCCCATGGTAGAAGCAGGAAGGAAGACATGGCATAGAGGTGTTGTTGTGTGTTCCACGAATAAGGATTATTTTCATAAACCAAAGCTTTAAGCAGGACTTATGAACTAGTGTACCACCTTTCATTTTGAGCTGAGTATGGCTACAAATTATATAGATCAATTTTTTCTACCAGGGTCAATTTGGGGATTTGACATTGCCTGGAGACATTTGGTAGAGGGAGCTACTGATATCTAGCTTGTAGAGACCAGAAATGCGGCTAACCTTTGTACAATGTACAGGATTTCCCCCACAATAAAGAATTAACTGACCGCAAAAGTCAATAATGCTGAGGTTAAGAAACTCTGACTCAGGGGTCCCCAGTATACACGATATAGTTACATGAATCTGAATTTAGCAGGGATAATAAACCTAGAACACAAAAGATCAGTTTATACATACGCATGCACTGACTGACTCTGTACTCTGGGTACTTTGTGAAAATGACAATAGTGTTTTATTTGTGGGATGTATAAACACATAAGAGTCTGTGAAAAAAATCACTAGTGTTGTAACTACTGCTCTAATGTGTTAGCTGTGTCAGGTTGGTATGGCTTCTTATCCTGAAATAACAAGAATTATAAAAGTTAATAAATGGCTTGATTTTTAAAGAACATGGTGAGCATCTTGAAATAACCACAACAAGAGCAAAATAACTGAAGATACAATTTATTAAAACCTTGAAGCATATTCTAAGAGGTTTGCCTTCGTTAAAGATATTTTTTAATTGCTATGTCCATAGTTGTAGTGTAAAAATAC